GCAGCTATAGCCTTTGATTAAAAGCTTCGGCTGGGCTGGGTGCAGTGGCTCACATCTGTAATCCCAGCACTTTGGGAGGCTGAGGTGGGTGGATCATGAGATCAGGAGATCAAGACCATCCTGGCTAACACGGTGAAAATCCATCTCTACTAAAAATACAAAAAATTAGCCAGGCATGGTGGCACATGCCTGTAGTCCCAGCTACTTGGGAGGCTGAGGCAGGAGAATGGCATTAACCCGGGAGGTGGAGCTTGCAGTGAGCTGAGATTGCCCCACTGCACTCCAGCCTGGGTGACAGAGTGAGACGCTGTCTCAAAAATAAAATAAAATAAAAATAAAAATAAAAAAAGCTTGGGCTGGGTAAGAGATAGAATAAAGGAGGAACTCAGAAAAAAACTTCAACACAAAGGCTTTGGATCTCAGTGCTCACACCCTTCCATCCCTTACCTTCACTCCACCACTCCAAGCCCAAATTCTGCCAGCCTTTTGAGTCCCAGCTGAAATGCAGTATCTTTCAAGGAGCATTTTGAGATTCCTGCCCCATCCCCATCCCACCATCTCTATTGGGGGTAGCTTCCTCTGATCACTGTTGTTGGCTCTCCTATTCATCTCTTACTGCTTAATCTTTATATCTTATTTTCTCTTCACATGAAAAGTCTCTTGAAGGCAGAGTTCATTATTTCTAAAACTTTTTTTATAATTTTTTTCTCTGTGGATGTGGCAGCTAAGAACAACTGATTTTCTTTTTTTTTAATCCCTTAAAGTGTCATGTGTTTAGTTGGTTTTCACCAAATACTGAGTATGTTCATAATTTCATTGAAGATGTTAGGCATTCAATAATTCCCTCCACTTCCTCCCAAACTGGGTTAATTCTAATCACAAGATGTTTTGCAAATCTAATCTAACAGCCAGAACCCAGCAAAGTGATTTTCTATGCATACTACAAAGGGATATTAATCAAATCCTCTTTTAATTACATACTCTATAGCACTGCAGTATTAAATCATAGGAAATTACATTTTTGTCGTGGGTGTACGAAGGCAAGCACATGGAGTCACAGCCACGTGGGGGTGCTAACCAGTTGCTTCTATTCCAGGTTTTGATTACTACTTTGGAATCCCATATAGCCATGATATGGGCTGTACTGATACTCCAGGCTACAACCACCCTCCTTGTCCAGCATGTCCACAGGGTGATGGACCATCAAGGTAATGCTGTCTGACACATTTGCGATAGGCTCCAGGACGAGGCAAAGTTCCAAGACTGTGGTCCATCAGCAATAAATGAAAGATGCAGACAGGAAACAGTTAAGACGGCAAATAAGATACACGGTACATTCTGTGCAAATTTAAATGTTATTTGCAGGGAGTGCAAGAAACCTTTCAACGATGAGGTCCACAAAATTCTTCTATTGAAAATTTCCAGGTTCCTTGGACTAGTGAGCTCAGCTGGGGACAGCTTTGGGCTGCCAGGGTCTCACACATATGGGGCCTCCCTCCTCCTCTGCCTGCTGGCTTTGCTTCTAGCCCAGACACTGGACATAAGGAGGGAGGGAGGAGGAGGGAGAGAGAGAGAGAGAGAGAGAGAGAGAAAGAAAGTACATAGGATGCCTTTTGAGCTTATCACCCCATGGACAACTAAGCCAGCGTTCTGATGTTGGAATGCCAAACAGACACCAAACAGGATGTTTTGAAAAAACATTTAATGAAATGGGAAAATGCTTATGATATAATAGTAAGTGAAAAAAAAAATGCAGGAAGCAAGTCATTAACAGTAAGATCTTAATGACCTCTGTAGCCCTATCTTTGTAGTCCTATTAACAGAGACTCAAAAGAGACGTGCCAAAATGTTATCAAGGACTTTTTCTGGTTGTGGGACTCACGGTTTTCATTTTCTCTTTTTTTTTTTTTTTTTTTTTTTGAGATGGAGTCTTGCTCTGTCACCCAGGCTAGAGTGCAGTGGCGCAATCTCAGCTCACTGCAACCTCTGTCTCCCTGGTTCAAGCGATTCTCCTGC